AATGTATACACGATGGTAACCACTTTGAGTACCTCTTGTAATTGCAAAAGTCAAATGTAACTTGTACTCGTCTTTTGTTATCGGTATATATTTTTCCTTTCTTAAAATATGTATGCGTGGCTTTGCACCCTCTGTATACACTCACACATATCCCACCTCTCCAGCTAAATATTAAATAGTTAACTCCTTGTGGAACAGGGCTAAGTTCTCAACTTGTTTCTACGTTCCCCAGGAAAGCCTAGGGTGGTGCTGGGCACTTACTAAACACTGAATAAATATGTCTTAGCTGTCAACAAGTCCCTAGAAATCAGCAGAACTCACTTTAGAAGGAATATGGATAGGGGAATCGGATTCACTTGTGAACTGTCTGGGTTGTCTCTGATTAGTGAATTGCATATTGCGGCCAAGAGAATACTAGGCCGGAAGTCAAGAGACCTGAGACTCAACTCACTTTTGCCACCAGGTCAAGGCAGCGCCTTGGGCAAGTCTCTCCCCCTCAGTGGGTCTTCATTTCCTCAAAAAAGGAGTTGGACTAGGCATCTTGGACTGCAAGCTTCCCACCAGCCCCCGATGCTGTGATCCTATGACTCTATTTTACAAATGTATGCACTTATTTGTGACATAAATCCCCACTGAAAAACAAAGTCGGTAATAAATTATGAAAAAAAATCAGGTGCCATGATCATTTGCGCTTTCCAAGGGTGCTCAGTTCCATCAATTCCACCCCTGTACTGAGGCTGCCTCTCCAGGGCGACAGAACATTCAAGGCTGTCAGGGGAGCAAACCAAGCAGTCTCTCCCTATAATTGTATTGACAGGTTATCAGCTGAGCTTCGATGGCAGAAGGGTGCATCCTGACAGGTTTTGTGAAGGAGCCTTGAAGGCTATTGTAGCAGGATTCTATGTTGAGTCACAGAATTCTGGGGAAATGAGAATCAAGCAGAGAGAAGCAGCTTGGTTCTTTCTCTACTTAATTTTATTCTTCCCGGAGAGTCACATTTGAAGGAAAACTGGCTATCTGCACGTCACTTTATATAATAAGGTAGAAGCCCTTTCTCATGGAAAATATCTACATATTTTTGTGGCCACATGAAACACTGACTTGACTCAATCAGTCTCATGAAATAGCCGGTGGGCTTGGCTTTAAATGAGGCAAATAGTTGTTGAGCATTTGTAGATAAAAAAAATACCTGCTTGGATGTCTCCGTTTTTCACTTTTCACTTGGTTACTGTGGCATCTTACAGACATGTTCTGGAATAACTGATGTGTATACATCCTGGTAAATTCCATGGGTGTGAAACACCAATGTTGGGTTTTGTTCAGTCAGTGTCTCTGCATTTTAAATGAAAAAATGCTGATCCCATTCACTGGAGAAAACAAGCCCACCACAGCCCCCCAATATGGTGGAATAAATGACTTATTTCTAAGGTGCTAGATTCTTCCAATACAGATGTACACCTTCAGGTTCAGACTTAGACCAAACCAAAACAGACTTCCATTCTAATCTTCTTCCTAAAGACACTCAAGGCTGAGGAACCTCTCAATCTCTGCCACACACTAACAGATCTGAAAACCTGCAGCGGGGAAACTGATAGGCCACAAGGAAGAAATCTACAAGTCAAGCTCAACAGAAATTTCTGTTGCATTTTAAAAAACATATATTTTTTAGAGCTTTGCAACCTTAAATACGTTCCATTTTCTCTTATTTTAAAAGCCAAAAAACCCCAATTTTTTCCCCCCACAACTTAAATCTTCGTTAAAATACAGGAAGGTGGAGTGGCAAAAATAACGCTGGGCTGGGAGTCAGTGAACATAGCAGCCAACCAGGATCTGCCCTTGAGCCACAAAAAGCCCTGCAGAGATGCTTCGGTGTGCCCATTGGCAAAAAGGGGTCTGGAAAAGGTAACAGCTCAGGATCCTTTTCGTGCTCGGTTTCTCTGCCAGCTTTTATCTAGACCAGGTTTTGGCCTATAGAACTAGCAGATTTTCAGATCTCGCAGGAGGTGGTAAACACTGAAATGTGGACCTAATCTTCACTGCCTCGGAAAGTACCCGGTGGCCCTAGAAGGACCCGAGAAGGCAGGTCAGCGGGAAAGCCTGTCCCCTGGCGGCCCCTGGAGGAACAGGCAAGTCCCAGGCTCCATCACCAGGGACCAGGCGGACGCGGCCGGATGCTCCCGCGCGGGCGCCTGGCGCCAGGGTAGCCCTGCCCTGCGTCTCACGCCCTGAAGCCAGTCGTGGGTCCGTCATCTCTTGGACATTTTCCTACTCTAAGCTCAGGTGCAGAAATCAGGGATCGAATTTGCCCTGGAAGCTGATCTGCTAGTGCCACCCAGAGGCTAGATGTCCTTCTTGCTATGAGGGGTAAGCAGAAGGAAAAAAGGGAGAAACTGTACATATATTATATATGAACATATATTATATTTTACACATATATGTACACATATACATATGTACACTATATATCACATATGTATACGTGATAGATGTAAAATCTATGTTTATGTATAATGTGTGTGTGTACATATCATATATGTCATATATATCACTTGGGTGGGCATCACACACTAATTCGCAATGGAGAATAACCCCACAATGCCCTCATTTTATAGTTAAGAAAGAAGAAAGCCGGATGCAATGGCTCACACCTATAACTCTAGTACTTTGGGAGGCTGAGGTGGGAGGATCACTTGAGCCCAGGGGCACAAGATCAGTCTGGGCAACATAGCAAAACCTTGTCTCCAAAAAATAACAACAAAATTAGCCAGGTGTGGTGGTGTGCACCTGTGGTCCCAGTCACTCAGGAGGATCGCCCGAGCTCAGGAAGTTGAGGCTGTGGTGGGCTGTGATCGTGCCACTGCACTCCAACCTGGGTGACAGAGTGAGACCCTGCCTCAAAAAAGAAAGAAGAGGAGGAGGAGGAAGAAGGTGGCCCACTAGTAACCAAGCAAAAGCTATGACCTAACATTCATGCAGCTGGTCAAGGTGGTGGACTTGATTTTCTCCTTGATCCTAGAATGGTGGGCCCCAACTACCCATCTGGTCTGTCCACTGAGTGGCTATTTTCACCTGGAAGAAAGGGAAGGATCTCGGTCCACTTTGGGGACCCTAAGAAAAGGGCATTTTTCTTTTTCTTTTTATCTTTTTTGAGTCAGAGTCTTGCTCTGCTACAGACTGGAGGGCAGTGGCACAATCATGGCTCACCACAGTCTTGGCCTCCTGGACTCAGGCAATCCTCCTGACTCAGCCTCCTGAGTAGCTGGGACTACAGGCACGTGCCACAATGCCAGCTAATTGTTTATATTTATTGCCACTCTTATTTGTAGAGATGAGGTCTCGCTATGTTGCCCAGGATGGTCTCAAACACCTGGGCTCAAGTGATCCTCCCTCCCCGACCTCCCAAAGTGCTGGGATGACAGGTGTCAGCCACCACGGGGCATATTAGATGGAAGGGTGCCCAGTGTGATAAGCCAGCTTCCCCCAGGGGCAGCACAGGCCTCTGGGCATCCTCCCTCCTTCAAAGGACCATAGTTTGGGAAGGTAGAAGGAGAGAGTCAGTGTGTTCCAAAGAACCAATTAACTCAGCTGATTCTAGCACAGTGTTAAGAAAGTCCAAGCTCCCTATACCAAGAAAAACAAAAACAAACCACCACCACCACCACTACCACCACCACCTCCGGGCTCTAATCAGCGCCTGGCGGTCACATAAATAATTGTTGTGGAATCCACGGTTACCACCTGTCCCTTCCACCGCCTGCACCTGGAAATCTGGGTGATTTTTAAAAGCACACTGTCCTCTAGTGGCACAAGATAAATTTGCTCCGAGACTAGCTCCCTAACCACCAAACCATCAAACTTCAACTGGACTTTTCCAGTGGTCCTCTCCCACCCCACCCCACCCCCGACCCCCAGGGAAGATGTAGCTGCCTCACCAGTGTTGGGTTTCCAGGCAGAAAACGAGACTAAGGGAAGGGGGTACTAATAAAAGAGAAAGTTGGCGGGCACGGTGGCTCACGCCTGTTATCCTAACACTTTGGGAGGTCCCGGGTGGGAGGATTACTTGAGCCCAGGAGTTTGAGACCAGCCTGGGCAACATATCGAGACCAATATCATTTTTTAAAATGCGGGAATGGCTGGGTACGGTGGTTCACGCCTGTAATACCAGCACTTTGGGAGGCCGAGGTGAGGGGATCGCCTGAGCCCAGGGGTTCGAGACTAGCCCGGGCAGCTAGGCAAAACCTTGTCTCTACGATAAATCAAAAAAATTAGTCAGCCGTGGTAGTACGTGCCTGTAGTTCTGGCTACTTGGAAGACTGAGGCGGAAGGATCGCCAGAGCCCAGCAGGGGCGTCGCTGGTGTGGTCGTGAGTGTGCCACTGCACTCCAGCCTGGGCGACAGAGTGAGACTCCAACTCAAAAAAAAAAAAAAAAAACAGGATGTGATCTAGCTAGAAATCGCAGCTCCCTCACTTGTGTCTGCAGGGCCTCCTAGGCCAGAGGTTTGAGCGTTTTATTTCTCTTAGGGCTGTGGTTGGGATAAGTAATAAGATGCATGATTGGGCGAAATTCCCCTATGAAGTAAAATTCCCAGGACAGACAGAGAGCCCTTGCTGCATAGAAGTAGCCCAGGCCTGCAGGAGAAAGGTGAGAGGTTTCCCCCAGGAGCACCGGCACTAAGGACACGGGCTGGGTGCGTGTGACCTGTCTTGTCACCCTGCGGGTTGGCCTAACCACAGCAGCCCACTGGGAGGGCTGACTGCGCGTCAGGCGCTGGGTCAGGGCCCGCAGCAACGACCCTCAGCGTCCCCAATCAGTCCCTTTAGTGGGTGCCATTATCATCCCACTTTGAGGATGAGGAAACCGAGGTTCAAAGAGGCGACGCGACCCGCGCGTGGCCGCACTGGGGCGTCCAAGGCCCGTCTGGGCCCGAGCTGGAGGACCAGGGGCGTCCCCGGCCGGGGAGGGGAGGCACCAAAGGGCGGCGGGCGGCGGGCGGCTCACCTTGACGATGAGCGGGTTCTGAAACATGGAGTCCCGCACGACCCCCAGCCTCTCGTTCTCCATGCCCGGCCGGACGTCGGCCAGGGTCAAGGGCCGCCGCGGGGGCGGGCAGATGTGGCTGACGGCGCGG